TCTTTACACTTCGAGCATTGATCGAATTGGCTTTTGGTGAAAATCAGCAAACCCGGCGATAACTGGTCTGGATCTGTCGGGGTTAGCAAGGTCCAGGTTCTCTGGAACTTCCCCGGCACTTTTGAACTGAATGTGATTATCTGCATGCTTTTGGCACTTTGAGGTTTCCATTGATAAGATGTTTAACAACTTCAGTAAGGTGCACAGAAACAAATAATACTATTTCACCTGAATAGCAACAGTAAATCGTAGTTCCGTTTCGCAGTACTTCACCAGTAAATAAGAAGTGCCATAGTTCTCAGAACGCGGCTTCTATGTAATCATTTCCTTGGTTTAGGTAGAAATACTAACAACTGAGGTTATTCTAGGTGATTTTTACCGATGTGGCAATCAGAAAATGGTGCAGCAATGATTGTGCTTCAAGACAACGAGGTTTCAGTGAACCATGGTGTTTGAATTTAGAACTGTGCCCAAAATCATCCCACCAAAAACGTCATCTTTGTTATAAATTCACTTAAAATTATTTGGTTGCTTATCTAGAAATCAATTAATTCCAATTGGATGGGCGTTGCGATGGATGCGGTCCAATGGAGTTACGTGTGAAGTCCGAAACAGCAATCACCATGTGATGCGATTGATTGATTGATTGATCTAAATTTGTTACCGATTCGCTTGCAGTTGCGTTGGTTTAACTTTGCGTTTGTATGTATAGGTTGACGTGCAAAGGAGCCCAGCTACAGCATGCGTAAAATGTGATGTTTGACCAAATTTAGAGCGATTCGGTTCACTTCTTTGACGTTGGAAGAAGCACAAATGTCACGGACGCAGAGATGAACAGCTTTAAATGCAATCGATGAGGTTTCCCATGTCACGTCGTCAACTCATGAAACGCTGCAACCCCTGTTCCAACGGTCTCAATAAAGAAAGATCCTGATCTCCGTTTTGCTGCTACAGAACACATCACCCCACTACCATGTCAAACTTTAACCAAATTATAAAATAAAAATGTCCGATTGATTATTTGCAATGTTTCAAATGGCGTTATAACATTTGTCACGGATAAACGTGAGTGTACAAAATTGAATTTAAGGCCTCAAGAAAATGCCAAAGACTGATTGGAAGCGTGGTCAAAGATGATCAACTTGCCTGGACATTAAAACCTAAAATTCTTAAATTTAATCTCTCCAGACAGAATAGCACCATAGAATTACATCAGCAAAGATTTACTGTGAAGCACCGTATCTCAAGTCACTCTAGGCTGCCGGTAAAATTCGCCAAAGCCTTTTAAAATCGCTTTACCACAAAAAGCAACTCTATCAGCTACTGCAGAAAGAATTTGAAAAAAATAATAGAAAAATGGTGAAAAAAATCAGTTGAGTAATTGAACTTTATTATACTTGTTCAATTCGTGGACACAGGATTGAATTTTCTTTAGAGATTATGCTATTGGTTGAGATTTTTTTTCAATGAGCAACTGCGGCAGCTTTGAGAGACGGTGTAGCAAACTCTGAGAAAACAGGCCGATAAAAAAATATAGCGCGAATAACTGCTCACCCGATAGGAATAAATAAGAAGCAGCACGTGAAATAAAGTGCTTAGAAAGATAATCCCATTGGAGCAATTCAAACACATTTTTAAGCTCGTACCACGTTCCAAAAGAGAATTTATAATTGCCGCTCAATTCAAGAACTTAAAGACATCCGCTTTTGATTAAGTTCTACAGTTCACACTGATGAGTTGAACTCAATATAAGGCTCGTGAACAGCAAAATCAGCATCATTCAAATTGTTTCTTTTGTTTTTACTTACTTGGATCTCTATCTACAGATGATGGTTAGCTCACTTAAGAAGAAGAAATAAGGAAGCGATCAAATACTTTTGTGGGGGCAAAGACGTGAGTAACTTTACGTTATTGAAGGGAATGGAACATAAGATCTATGCCGATACAACATTCTACATCAGTTTGTGAATAGAAGTGCTACATTCCAACATACAGCAGTATCTGTTGAGCTTATTTTTACCCAGAAACTTCGCATGACAACCCCGGTTCTATTTGAGACGTGTTGTTTTCTACACCGGGACAGCATTTGGTACTCCTAGTTCCATTTTTTCCTTTATTTTCCATAAAATTCAGCTATCATTCCGATGCGAGATAATGCAAAAGAATTCCGCTTTTCTCCAACCAAGTGAATTATTTATACTGAATGACCCTATCTGATGATCAGTCAGTAAAACCGGTGATTCACTCCCTCCCATTGTCCTCGATTTCATTGCTCCGTAATTCAGGACAATGTTGTGTGCATCTCTTTGGGTTAAACTGAACAATCGCGGCGGGGACAGACGTTTGCGGTGAATGCAAACTTGGTGCAATCGCTAGATTCTTCGCTTTTGGCTGACAGCACAACCGGTGAAGAGCGTCATAGATAACAAGCATATAGAGTGCGGAGCGAGCTTGTTTTAAGGTCGATTGTGTAACATAAGTCAAGATGAATATATCAGATTGATTGAACTGGAAATATTTTCCATGTCCGGGAAGTTTGTGCTGTGCGAATACACTGTTTTAACGAGAGTTTGTGTTCAATAGCACGTGGATGAAAATTCTTCCCAATCCAATTACGGTGATGCATCCTCATAGAATCGTTGTCCTCCATTAGGGTTTTAGGGTTTAACCTGAACGCAGGAGAATTTGGGTTACTCGTAATTTTATCCTCACTAGCAAACGAATATAACCGTTGTTGATGAATCTTCGATCTCCCTATTTCCGTCGTGATATGTGAATCGATTTTGCAGTTTTCTTTTTGTGGAAGTTTCAGCCCCAATCGAACTTTTAATGGAGGTGCTTGAAAAACGGTTCAGCTGGTTGACCGTAGAAGATAAGGAAACAAACTCGTTTCATTATATTTCTCTTTTTAAAAGGTACCTTCAAACTGGAAATCAATGTTGGGGATGTGAAACATACTCCTATGGA